CCGACTTTGTCGAGGCAATGATTCCTTGCTCTGGATCTCCTACGCTGTGCTTTTAACTTCTGTTTCTTTTCAGTCTTAACGGGTTTCGGGATACTTTCGTGATCTAGGATATCACCGTAGACTGTGGGACTACGCTGGACTGGTTCGTCGTGACAGGACGAGGACGGGTAAGTGATTTCACACGTTTGATTTAACCTTGATAAATATGTATATATTTATTTTCTTTTTAGGTCACGCACTGAGTCACAATTTAACCCCGTTAACATTTGATTGTTCGTTACAGTAATTTTTGTTCTGCCGATCTCGTTACACTTTTTATCGCCGCGTATCGCGTACAGTGATTACGATTAATCAACGTATTACTACCGCAATTGTTACCGAAGTGTCTTTGTCCGCGTTATTTCAGAATACCTTTTCTGAAAATCCTCTTTTTGAATTCTAGGTGGAGATAGAACTCTCGGGCTCTCTCGGCGCCGGTTTATATAGCCGTCGAGACGCTTGCCCCACTCTTAGCCCGCCAGCCAATTACGCTTCGCCGCCCCACCAGTGGTCCGCTGACCACTCAGGACTTCGCGCGCTCGTGGTATGCTACGCTCGACTCTCCGAGAGTTCTTGTTTTTGGTTTTTCTTGTTTTATATTCCAAATATATTTTGTACATATCCTTACTACCTATTTATTGTTATTTTTAAGTATTTTATAATAAAACCGATATGTAAATTACCTTGTGATATTATATTTACATAAACATTTTAAAATAGTATTTCTCTTTATTGCTTCTAATAACCCAAACGTAACTTAACTTAAAATAAAAATAAAATCTCGACGGCAATCGGAGCCTATGCGGATGACATGCACAAAATTAATAAATTAAAATGAGATCTCAAGTCAAACTCATTTATTAAATTCTAAACGTTTCGACCCACTTCAGGTCTTCTTCAGTAGCTGCAAAATACAAAGAAACAAAAATAGAAGATAATCGGTACAATCAGAAAATTATAAAACTCGTATACATACAATCCGCAAATAAATTAAATATCATTCTCCTCCCTATTCAAACCGTCCGGCCGTCGGAGTGTCTCCCTAACGGTGACCATCGTCAGGAAGGAAGCGGAGCAGTGACTCCCTTACCAACACTAATCAACATGGTATAAATTAAACGTAGAATAATTCACAAGAATTAAAAATTAAGAACCGGGAAGAACACTCACCCCGACAGCAAAAACAGAGAGAAGACGATGCTACACGTGACACATCACTCTAACGACTGTGCGGTATTCTACCTCGACACAGTCGATACATATATACGCAAAAAAAAAAAAAAAAAAAAAAACAAATATAAAAATAAAATATGAAAATAAAAATAAAAACAACTAAACTAATCGGCACTCATGTCAAAAGTCTAACAAAAAAACCCGGCTATGTAAAATCACAAAGCTAGATTTTGGTAAATTTTTCTATTAACAGATCAAGATTCTCGTTTAATTTATCAGTGTCGCTATGTAAATTTAAACTATTCCTCTGACGTTTTATGTGGATCATTTCGGATATCAAACGTTTACCTAAAAAAGGCTCCTCGTCTAAGACTTTTACCTCCTCCCAATTAAATTCATGGTTCAATAATCTATGTTCCGATATGACTGATAATTGTGACGCGTTTCTTTTTATGTTGTTGCGATGTTCTTTCATCCTAGTTTTCAACAATCTACCCGTCTGCCCTACGTACGACGCATCAGAATCCATACAATCAATTTTATAAACTACATTATTATGGAGTTCTCTTGGTAACTTATCCTTGTGTACTTTAATGAATTTACGGAGACTGTTAATTGCTGTATATGATGGAATGACATCCAAATCACGTGTAATGTCCTCAATTCTCTTCGATACATTATTAATATACGGAATATTAAAGTACGAAACTTTTTCCTGCGTTAGAATCTTGTCATTGCATACATTTGCTCTATTGTTATGCAACTTATTATTATAGCGGAAGAACAACTTTTTTAACCGCGCTTGTAATGTATGAAATATCAAATTGAGAGGATAATTATTAGACAAAAGAACTCCAATCATAGACTCAAAGTTAACGTTTAGAACGTTTAGAATTTAATAAATGAGCTTGACTTGAGATCTCATTTTAATTTATTAATTTTGTGCATGTCATCCGCATAGGCTCCGATTGCCGTCGAGATTTTATTTTTATTGTAACACAATAATTCGAGCCGAGATTAATAGTTTTTTTTTATATTAACTTAAAATATTTGAAATACGTATCAATTTGTTGTTTGAATGTAATTTTGCCATATTTCGTAACTTAAGACTAAAATTATGAAAAATGATTTTTATACAATAAAATTGTTAAAATTACATTTCTTTTTATTATTCGAAAGTATTTTATTATGCTCTGAAACTTAAACTTAATTTTTTTTTATTTTTTTTTTTATTTTTACGCTTTTTTGCATAATTAAACTCAAGATGTCAACCACATATATTTATATTTGTTTTATTGTATATAACATGCTTACGTAAGATAAATATGAAATAAATTTAAATGTTCAATACATTCTTAAAACCACCATATTATAAATAAACTTTGTAAATAATAAAATAAATAATTACTTTGTAAGATAATATTATCTTATGTGATTTTCAAAAATCAATTTGACAACACAATCATCTTTACTGACGCAAAAGGAAAATAAACTGTTTATAATTAATAGCTTAACCTAATACTTAAAATTAACATGTGATTAGAGTATTTGTGTTTTGGCGGTCGACTCGCTCTGCTGCTGGATCACCGCCTCCCTCGGCTTGGGATTTTCTCTCGAACTGCGACTCTCTGTGGTTGGTTGCATTCCTCCTTCTTCGGAGTTCTTGGATGATTTCTGGACTTCCGGGAACGCTGAATCTTTTGGTTTGGGAGAGACATCCTTTGTCGATTTTGGATCTAGTTTGTTTTTAGGCTTGTCCACTCTTTGTTTGCGCTTACTTGTTCCTTTATATCGCATAATGGCTTCGTCTGAGGATGCGGATGATTCCTCTATATATGACAGTTTTCTTTTTTTCGTGTTAATTGTTTGGGTCGGATTGGTAGGTTTTTGTAATCCTGGATGATATTTTTAAGTTCGCGTGGAATTTTTGTCATAGTCTTGAGTTTTATTCCTTTAGACATTGTTTGTGTATTTTGTCTCTGTTGTTGTATTTTTTTTGTGTGTGTAGTTTGACTGTTGGGTGGAGTGTTTTCTTCGTTTTCACTAGTTGATGCGGAATAAATGTCGTTTGTTTGTTCGTATCTATCTTGTGTTTGGTTTTGTGTCTGATAGGATGTCGATGGTATTTGATAATCGGGTTGAAAATTATCCTGACTTGTTGGTGGTTGTGGGTTGTTATCCTGTGGCTGTGCTTCGGGTTGACTGTAATCATATATGACTTCTCTTTTTTCTTCTGAGCCTTTTGTTACGCAGGATACTAATTTGGATGCCCATTTAGCGTTTACTTGTTTTACTGTATTTCCTCCGACGATGTTTTCGATAATTGAGAATGGTTTCCTGGATGTTACTTCGTTAGGTTTGTTGGCTCTGATTGATGTAGTTGTTGTGACTTAATTTATTAATTAAATAATTATTAATTAAATTTAACTAATTTTTATTAATTTAATTAATTTTAAATTATTTATATATAAATTAAATTTATATCAAAAAAACTAGATATCATAAAAATTGACTAAAATATCTTCTCCACATGAATATTAAAAATAATTTTTATACATTAACTCTCATATTATTTCATTTAACTCATTTTATTTCGAGAAATTTAAATTATTCAATAAACAACAAAATTTAATAATCCCTGATACAAAAGGTACAATTAATAAAATTTACTTTTATCTAATTAATTAATTTAATTTAAATTTTCATTTACATTATTATATATATAATTCATTTAATTTTTTTTTTACATACTTTAACAATTAAAAAATAAACTCCATCTAATCTTTACTATAATTTTATTTAATTAAAATAATATACTTAAATTATATTAAATTTCTCATAATTATCAAATTTAATTCTTCTTTTAAAATTTTAATAAAATTCATTAAATCATTATTAATCTCCTCAATGTAAATGAAATATTTTAAATAAACTAAAATTTTTTATTATTCTAAATACATTTTCCAATATATTTACTTTGTTACGACTTTTCTTACAAACTATATTTAATAAGAATGACGGGCAATTTGTACATAATTTATATAAAATTCAACCTACAAATTTTTATAAATTTACATTTAAATCCTACTTAAATAATAAATTAAATATTATTTACAAAAAATATTTTTTAATATAACTCATTTAAATCTTAATAATTCTACATTTTGATTTGACTTCAATTTATATTATATTCAATAAATTTATAATTAAAATCTCTTAATTCAACTATCAACAACAATATATAAAATATTTATATTAAGTTAATCTACTTGTGGGCTATCAAATTAATCAACAAGTTCCTCTAATTAAATAAATCACCGCCAAATTTTTTATTTTTAATGATTCACATTTAATATTTAAAAAAAAAACCTAACGTCGTTAACTTTTATAATTGGTGTTCTTGCCTTATCTAATTTGCCCTTTACGAGTAGCGCGACAGTCTTTTCAGTTGCCAGCTGTAGCTTATGCGTATTACACCACTCTATAATGGTATTGATAACTTGGTTAGCTGTTTTTTCTATACTCGCTCTAGAATCTTCTTTTATTAATATTGCGACATCATCGGCATATGCCACCGCTTCAGCCTTTAGAGCAGGAAAGCAATTTGCTATATTGTTTAGTAGCAGATATTAACTTTTCGATGTCTAAAGTATGACTTAAATACTTTTATAAGCTTTGTGCTGCAATTTCCTTTAATCAGTCTATGTATGATAGAGGGCCACCATAGATTGTCAAAAGCACCTTGGATGTCTATAAAGATTGCAACCACATATTTTTTGTCTGTATTTTTACAGCTTCTTATTAGGTGACTTATTGCGTCTTCCGTTGATTTTCTTGGTCTAAAACCATATTGGTTTGGGCTTTCAAGTTCTAATAATTTGTAGCTTGCTTCCATTCGTTCCACGATTATTCTCTCGTATACCTTGCTCATTGTCGGTATTAATGAGATCGGTCTGTAAGAGTTTAATGTACCTTTATTTTTATTACTTTTGAGTATTACTTTAACATTAGCTATTTTCCATGCATCGGGAAATATTTCCTCTTTAAAGCAATTATTGATGAGTGTGTAAATTATTTCAGGCTTTTCCTTCCATACTTGTTTGATTATTTCCGTTGTAAAGTTGTCTACTCCGGGTGCTTTATTATTTTTGAGCCTATTTATCGCGTTATTTATTTCTTGAAATGTAATTTCATTTTCCATGTTACAGTTTTTATAGTTTTTAATGTCCTCTAATACTTGTCGATGCTTGTCGTTTTCAATTTTCTTGTCGTCTTTTGGGGCGCATTTAGTTAGGATAGCATTTATCGTTTCTTTCCAGGTATTTGTATTTGTCCCATCCCCTAGTCTTAATGATGTTATTACCTCATCTCTTTTGATTTTATCTCGTACAATTTTATAAGGAATACTCCATGGATCTCTATTTGATTCAGTGGTCACAAAATTTTGCCATGTTTCATATTTTGATTTTCTAATTTCTGCTACGTATTTGTTCCTAATTCTTTTGTAACTCGTTTTTGCATCTTCGAGTAGGTCCACCAAGTTTAGTTTTCTTATTTTGTTGTATCTTTTCTTTGCCTTATTTAATTTCTTTCGCATTTTGGCTAGATTGTCATTCCACCAAGGAACTGCTTTATTAGATTTTTTCTTATACGGTATAGATTTCTTGCATATTTGGTCTAGTATAGTAGAATATTTTTTGACCGCCATTTCTGGCTCATCTATTTGTAATTTGTTCAACGCATCATTTGAGAATTGATTTATTAGGAGCTCCTTAAATGTTTCCCAATTGGCTTTCTTGTTGTTATAGTTATTGTATGTTATAAATTTTCTGTTTGTTTTTTCGTTAATTTTAAGGTCTAAGATAACTAAATTATGGTCACTAGTAGTGCATTTTGATGAAACATTTCATCTCTCGCATATACCAAGTGTGTTCTCACTGACTAAGGTTAGGTCGATGTTTGACCAGCCCTGTGTAGATTCAAAAGTTGGTGTATCACTGGCTTCGTTTATTACGTATAATCTATTTGCAATTATAAATTCTTCCATAATTCTTCCTCGGTCATCCACTTCTTCAGAAAACCATAGATCTGATTTTGCATTGGCATCCATAGTTATGATTATCTTTTTTGAATTTAATTTATTAATTATATTTTCCATCTCAATTAGTATTGGCTCTATATTTAGTGAGAATTGGCAATAAGTATTTATAATGAAGAAGTCCTCCATCTCAGTCATAACTTGGAAGCACATTATATGAGGAGTGTCAAAGTGTGTTAAATGAAAAGCCTCTATTTTTTCATTTGCAATTATGGCAGCAACCCAGGGGTTATCTACTCCAGGTTGTATTTTAGATAGATACCCTGCAGAGTATCCGCGAACCATGCCCTTATATGTATAAGGTTCTTGAATACACAAAATATCTATGTGTAGTTCTTTAATTAGGAGTTCTAAATTGGCAGCAGCAGCCATTGCTCTTTGTGCGTTTATTTGTGCAATTCTTAGTTCCATTCAATTTTATTATATATAATTCTAAATACTTTTTATATTCAGGGCATTCTTTGTGTTTTACGCTATGCTTGACCTCTTTCCTTTTACTGCGTACACAATTTATACATTGCGTCTCTTTCTGACAGTCTTTTTTAACGTGTCCTTTTTCACCACAATTCCCACAGATTTCATCTGTGACCTTGCAAAATTTTGCTATATGCCCATATCTATGGCATTTAAAACATCTTGTGATATTTATGTATTCTTTAATTCTATAAGTTCTCCATTGCATAAATATTCTTCCCTTTTCAACCAATCTTCCTAAGAATCTACCTGGTACTTGTACTATCCAGTTTACATTATTATTATTATGTGTCTTAAAACTGTGTTTCATAATAACTTTTTCTTTTAGTTCTTCTGTCTCATTTGTTTGTATTGTATCAAAGTTTTTCTTAATTAAATCTTCCTTTAAGTCTTTAGGCTTGTACTCTTTCTCCACATCGTATATTATGATAGATGGGGAGGTTTTTCTCGGTTCTTCAATTTTCAATCCCTTTTTTTTAAAATTAACTTTTTAATTAAATCTATGTCTTGTTTGCTATTTACTTCAACTACTACTGCCTTATTCTTGATGTTTCTGATTCCTTTAACTTTCAATTTGTTTTTGATCCCTTTTAATTCATCTATTACTTGTGTCCTAATATCTTCATTTGTTCTATCGTCGTTAGTTTCTTTTTCAGGTTTAATTATTATAGCTTCATGTCTTTTGTTACTGTTTATTCTCTCTGTTTTAGGTTCAACATCATATTGCCTTCCGGAGCTTTTCGTCGAGGTTACCTCAGCGTAAGTACTTTTTATTCTGCTACCTTGAAATATTGACTTCCATTTTTCTTTTTCAATAATTTCTTCATTAAGCTTATTTTCTAGTACGGCCCATTTAGCTAATATAAATTTTATCGCGGTTTTACTTATTTTGTTTGTCTCATTAAATAGAAACTCTTCTAATATCGTCCTGGTTCTGATAATTTTATCTAAATTACTTTGTTCGTTTTTGTATTCTTCATTTGATTTCTTTCTTTTCTTTTGTATTTGTCTAATATTGCTAACATCTTCCGGCATGGAAGTCGTTGAGCCCAAACGTATCGTCCTAAAGGTCGCTTCAATCTCCTCCGTCTCTACGTCAAAATGTTTTGTTTTTAAGTGTTCATTTTCCATAGTCATCCCACGAGTGCGGTAGGAAATGATGTCAACTGTAGCAGAGCCTCCTATACTACAGCAAGCCTAAATACTACGGAGGGTCGGCCGGTACCCCGTAGGGATCGTTCAGGACTGTGCTATTTAAAGTCCCCACAGCCATGCATCCATCGACACGATGCCTCCCACCTTGGATTGGGACGTGTACCCATGAAAACCTAGGTACGGATCACTCTTAGCACCCATCCGTGGTGTAGGATGGGTGGGCCCCCCCACCACGGCAAGGTGGTGATCCACAGGGGGGAGTAGATAGGGACAGTGGGAATCTCGTTAATCCATTCATGCGCGTCACTAATTAGATGACGAGGCATTTGGCTATGTTTCGTCTACGGTGCGCGACGACTGCTACAAAATCACAGTCGCCAAGTCGCCACCGACAACGATATTGCAGAGCTGTTTACTGTTGGTGTTCGCAGTCAACACCCTGGAGCGTGAAGGTCGGAGCTAGCCAAAAGCAGCTCGTACTTCACCTCGACCATTCACGCAATCATTCAAACTCGCGCGATTGATGCGGAGGCCCCCAACTCTACGCGCCATCCATCATGCACCACCAGATGAGGCCACGTTCCGCCTTCCTTCGTTATAACGCGATGTCATTGCGTTAAAACGTTTCCAGTTCAGCCATGAGCCCCACAGAACTCGAGTCGTCAACGTTCGGAGCTGGGCGGACGTTAAACCCAACTCCCGCAACTCAGACTCGCTTCGCGAGCTCCATACACCTCGCCACGAGATTGTAATGGCGGTAAAACGAACATTATTTCGTGGTACTCCTGTGCGCTCCGCCACAGCGGCTGCCAGATCATTACATGATCGGTACTTCTCCACCTTACGCTCGTGGGACATCTCCAACGCGGTTTCGCTAGACACTACCTGCGCGTCTACGACCACTGCCTCACCACCCTTAGCGATGGTCAGGTCGGGCCGCCTCCGGCCGGCAGACGTCGAATACGCTTGTTCCGCATCACGCGCCATCCCTTCTGCTGTAAATAGCCACCAACTTGACGGCATAGGTCGTCATGCCGCAGGATTCTCCCTCCGTGCGTTCTGAAGCAGCGTTGCACGCAGTGAGCCGGCGTCTCGGTTTCGGGACAACCGGCACGACAGCGATTATCGCGCCCATCACGACCTCGGAAGCATCTCGCTCTAGACGGTATGCAGTTAGCCCGTATGTGGTGATAGTGCACGTAGTCGGCACCTGGGATGGCATCGGCGCCAGCCGATACCCAGTAAGAGCTCAGGTTGGAGGCCGCAACCTCTCTGAGTCCACTCCCATCGCACGACTCGCGCAACCAGGCCGCACACTGCTGTCTGAGCTCAGCGGTTGTTGTCACTCTATTACCCCGCACTCGCATCTGGTTTTCACACCAGACAAGCTGCCTAGCCACATACGTGGTTTCGGCAGCCGCGCATGCTGCGGGCAGAGTACTCCGACACAACCGCTGCAGTCGGTTATGCTTCAGAATTGGGATCAAAGTTCTTAATAGAGGCATTCCAAGCCCGCCACTCTGTATCGGCGCATGCAGGTATCCAGCAGGAACATCATGGGGAAAACGCAGCCATCGTCGCACCGCGGTGCGTACGATGATATCTTTACCCTTGAGGGTTTTGGCCGAGACCGTACCCACTGTCCATCGGTGATAATACCGTGGAAGGAGACAGTCACGCAACAACCTCAGCCGCTGTTGCGGCTTAAGAGGTGCTCTCGTGAGTTGCTCGATGGCCTGAGCTAAGGGTGGATTGCTTGCGAGTTCCCTAGCACCTGTGTATTCGCAGCCCAGATACGTCCAGACATCGACCAGGGATCTTTGCGGTATCATCGCTCCCCCCACGGTGAAATAAGGTGTGGTGTCCACCTTCACCTTCTTGTCTCTGCCGGACGCCACCATGGACAGCACTCCGGTCTTTCTCGCGTTGATCTCGAGCCCATTTCGCATAAAGGCGTCATGAAGCCGTGTCAAGTTCTCCTGCAGACCATCTCTGGTAGAGGCCAGGAGCACAATGTCGTCTGCGTAGCCCAGCGCATTGATAAGCCGGCCACCCAACCGATAGCCAACGTCCTCCGAGAGAATTCCTAGTGCTCTATCTACGACCAGATTGAACAGCAGGGGCGACAACGGATCACCCTGTCTCACGCCACGGCCGATCTTGATGGCCGACACTTCCTTAGCGCTGACCCCCTGCAACTCGGTCAGCGCATTCGAATAGACAGCCCTTACGTACTCTCTAAACTCCCGAGGGAGCCCCAGCTCATCGAGAGTCGTATGAATAGCAGCGTGCGCAACCGTATCGAAAGCTTTCGACAGATCAACGCACGCCACATGCAGAGAACGACAGCGCCTCCGGGCGTCCCAAAGCACGGATGAAAGGACTGTGACGTTCTCACATACCCCGTCCACCGGCCGGAACCCCCTTTGGCGCCTGTCGAAGATGTCGAGGGCTGCCAATCTCTTTGCCAATATCTTGTGGAAGTGTCTTATTATAACGGATCCTATGCTGAGAGGTCGGTACTCCGTCGGACCTGGCCGATCGGACATACCCCCCTTCTCAAGGAATACCGTTCTGGTTGTGGCGATTGATGAGGGGATCGTCTCTGCCAGGAGCAGCAGATTGAACAGAAGCGCACGAAGAATCGCAGGAACAGCGTTCCACATCCTCGGCGTAATCTGGTCCAATCCGCAGTGCCAGTCCTTACGGAAATCCTGTTCACCTCTGCAGGTGTTATAGGATCCCAGAGCAAGGTCTTATCCGCCACAGGAACTGGATCCGTGGCAGCGCCATCGCCGAGACCTTCGAGGTGAATTCCTCTCGGGCCCGACGTACGGCCCCGGCCAGCACTCGCAGCCTGTGCCGCCTCCCCAAACGACTCACGCAAGTCCGTCATGTCTCCATCCGCACCGCTGGAGGCCTCCATAATGGGGCGCCAGCAGTTAAGGAATTCGACAGCAGACGGCCTCTCGCGCACCGAGTCGCCCTCGAGGATACGCGACAAACAGGACTTCTTGTTCTTTCTGTAGAGGGATTGCACAATTGCATACTCCCTCTTTCTCTTCTGCTCCTTGCTCTCTCGTTTAACTGGAGGACAGTGCTTCTTTGCCGAAACGCGTTGCGGAGGGCGCACTTGTAGCGGCCGAGGGAAGATCATGCCCAGCCATCTCTCGATAGCCAAGACGTCGACCCTCCCCGCCGTCAGAGCATCTCTTGCCGTGCCAGCAAGAGTATCAGCCTCGTAGCTACGGAACGCCGCACTCTGCTCTACGAGTGATTGTATCTTGTCCCGCAGCCTCTGAGAACTTTGTTCAGGGGGAGGCTGATGTGCGCTTTGATCGTCAGTACTAGCCTCAATGGCCGCAGGAATGGTGTCGGCTCGTGTCATCACCGCACCATCCCTATCGCCCTCATCGATCACAATCGCGCGACGCGATTGGATCTCTTGGCAGAAGTCTCTAACCATCACTCGGTAAGGCTCCTGTCGCCGTTTATCCTTGATGGCTTCGAGACTCCTATTGGGGAACTTTGTCTCCAGATACTGGTTAATGAAAGGTTCCCCGGCTAAGGTGCCTTCAGCCTCAGCGCGTGCCATGAGTCTAGTTTCCTCCACTGACCATCTGGCCTTTACGCGGTCAACATTGATAGCACTGTTGGCTTGTAGTGGGTGTGCACGTACTTTGTGGACACCAAGACCACGCATGTTCCGGAATCTCGCCGAACAATGCTCACAGCTGACCATCTCCTCCTCTAGGCTGTCCACTTCAGCCTGGCTGGTCCTTATAGTGATTCGCGACGGACCAGCTGCGACCCCGTCAGGGTCCTCCGCACCTCTCGCGCGCTCACTCAAGCGAGCACTCGCACGCAGACCCCGGGCCATCCGAGAACCCGGGACATCAGAATCATTCTTAGCTTTATTCATAATTTACTGCGTGTAGGGGGGCAAACGGATTGACAACCGAGAGCCCCCCAAGAAACCCCGGTCTTTCTTGGCCCCACAACTCACCATGACCGTAGGCGCATGGGCCGAAGCCCTTAGGGGCGCACTTCGCTGTACACTCGCTTAGTCGACACCTACCGAGTCTAAACTTCCAAAGTAGGCCGTTTCCGGGAGCACCACGAGGAGGTGGAGGTACAACTTGGACGTGAGAGGCTGAAGGTCCTTACTAGAGGACTTCGTTGGCGCATCACGAACCAACCACGACTCTCTCTAAGTACCATCGCGGCGTGTTGCTTTGAGGACCGAGAGAGTCATAGTTACTCCCGCCGTTTACCCGCGCTTGCTTGAATTTCTTCACGTTGACATTCAGAGCACTGGGCAGAAATCACATTGCGTCAACACCCGCGAGGGCCATCGCAATGCTTTGTTTTAATTAGACAGTCGGATTCCCCTAGTCCGTGCCAGTTCTGAGCTGAGCGTTGAATGGCGGCCGAAGAGGACGACCACGACGGCTCGCGCCGCCACGGAAGCCTCGCAGCAAGGAAGATCCGCGGGAGGCCAAGGCACGGGACCGAGCTCGGATCCCGGGACCGGCGCGAGAACGCCGACCGTTCACCTCGCCCAGGCCCGGCACGTCAGCCAGACCCGCTTCCCGACCAAGCCCGACACGCCCCGCTCCTCAGAGCCAATCCTTATTCCGAAGTTACGGATCCAATTTGCCGACTTCCCTTACCTACATTATTCTATCGACTAGAGGCTCTTTACCTTGGAGACCTGCTGCGGATATGGGTACGAACCGGCGCGACACCTCCACGTGGCCCTCTCCTGGATTTTCAAGGTCCGAGGGGAAGATCCGGACACCGCCGCAACTGCGGTGCTCTTCGCGTTCCAAACCCTATCTCCCTGCTAGAGGTTTCCAGGGAACTCGAACGCTTATACAGAAAAGAAAACTCTTCCCGGATCTCCCGACGGCGTCTCCAGGTCATTTTGGGTTAC